TCCTCCCCCTGTCTGAACCAAAGATGCCTAAAGGCCTGGCTGTTTGTTGCGACTCCTGAATGGAGCAGGCGTGTATGTACATGTGAACGCCGAAAGCGGAACAACACAGCTATTTTGTTCTTCCGCAACACAGTGTGTCTTGCCCACTTGAAAGAAGCACTGCCTTGTGTCAAAGAGATTACATATTTCCTTTCTTACTGCCACGGGGTTAAGAAGCTTTGGTCTTGTGTGGGTGACTGCTGTTACAAGCCAGTAAAGGCTTCCTTGCTGCAGATGTGAGAGAGACAGTTCTTAGCATTTCATGTTGGAAAGTTCACCTTTAACCCTTTGAGTTTTAAAAGACATGGTAACTTTGCTTTAGTTGAAAAAATGCATGACATATTAAAACATTTTGTTATGGAAACTCTGATGTTAGATACGCTTTTGCAGTCCGATCTGTTTATGTTACTATGAACACATGCAGATATGATCACTTTCCATTTTGGGGTTATTTTTAGTTTGAAAAAATAACTATCAGACCGCAGTTTTTTGATAAACGTGGTCAACATTAAAGTTTTCCAACAACTTTCATCCTGTTTATTAAGCAAAATGAAATTATATATCGGTGCTAAATGTTTAAGCCTGTAGTTCTGTATGATCAATATTATTTTGCACTGTTAAGCTTAAATAAACTACTTCAATGTACATTTAAATATTGTCAATGAGCATGCATTACTGCAAATTTAAAAACCTGAGGAGATATGGTTTATTTTTACAGACCTAATATACAGTTCACTTTGCATATGAGACAGCATGATTTGGTAATTACATGTAATAAAGGAGAGACCTTTGTACCGTATTCATCAGGGCCATTTTCTACTCACCTGATAGAAAAAATACATTTATAATACTCTAAAAAACTTCTTAGGCAAAAGTAAAAGCTTTATCTATGAACAGAATCTTAATAAAGCTACTTATGCTACTACCTCTCTGAAAATTGTAGAAGTCTTAAAATAGTTCATACTGATGCTGAGTCTGCCAAAAGAATAGAGGAAAATAGAAACAAAGATCTTTACAAAAATACAACCCAATACAAGCTTAGGTTAAAAAAAATAAATAAATAAAAAAAGCTTTATGAGCCAATCATAGGCAAACTTATGAAAACTGTCTGAGCTGAGGTGGTAAGAAAATACAAGATTTCCTAATGTAGTTAATTTGGAAACTATTTAAATGAGACCTAAATAGTATAAAGACGTTTCAATTTTAGATTTCTTCGTCAGATGACTACGCTGTTTATTTGCATAACTCATAATCTGATATAATGTGATCTAATCATGTTGTTTTGTAGATTTTACAGAATTTCTCAACTACAAAAACAATCAATAAAGTTTGAAGAAATAAACTATTTTAGGATGTTCAAAATATACAATGAAAATAAAATGCTTGTTTTTTCACAACACTTACTTCAGAGGTATAAAAAAGCTTAATATTTCTTTTTCAGAACAAAAATAAATGACAAATAAAGAAGTCTAAGTCTAAGTCTAAGTCTAAGTTAAATGTCTGCCATCAGGTGCATTAAAGCGATTGAGAGACAAAAAAAAAAAAAAAAATGAAGGATGAAAATGTGCTGTGCCTTATGTGACACATATCAAATATGGCTGTGTAAATCACCCAGCAAGGGAAGAGTAATACCGTAGCAACGTCTGCCAGTGCTGCGAGACAGCTTGTAGCTGCGAGGATTTCACAGTTCAAAGGCAGAAGCAGCAATTTCTTGACGTGGAAAAGCCGAATTCTACATTTAGCTTGGAAGAAGGTTCTCCCCTCTATGTGCAAAGTGATTATATAACTTTAAAAAACTAAAACTGGACAAACAAATTGGCTTTTAAAATAATCACACACTCTGATTGACCTGATAATGGTTCTGATTACCCATTGGGTCGCCTCAGAATGAAGAAACATTGCTCTAGCAGGTATAAACTGACCATAAAGGTTTTTTTCAGGAATACCCTGAGGTAGTGTCTGCATATCTAAGAGCAAACACTCTCCAAGATGGTTTTGGTTGCATCATGCTGTTTTTCTGTCAGGGAAACTGCAGTATTGCTCAAAATAGGTGGAATAGTGAAACTTTACCTTCTATTACTTCATGGAATAAACTTAGAACATCAAGTAGAAGAAAAGTACCCTTAAGCAGAACATGTTTGGATGAAAACATCTTAGAATGATAACTCTGGCAATCTAACATCTCACTATCACAAAAATAACTCAAAACAATCATTTACGGTATTTATTTGAGACACATTGTCCATTATATCTGAAACTGATCAATAAATATACAAATTATGCAATTGTTCCAAATTATACAGCCAGAAGAATTTAAACGTATAAATATTGCCCTCTTGTGGATCTTAAAATGAGCACAAAATTTGTAGTTTTCTCACAGCTACTGTTGAGCATAAATGTATTGACCCAAGATGCACATTTGAATCAGCTTTTTCCTTAATGTAATTACATTCCCGTTTGGGAAGTTTGCTGTCACTTTATGCTCTCTTTTGGCATTTTCTGTATTCCTCCCTGAACCTACAAGCATTTATGTGTTTATAGAGGAGTCAGCACTGGAGCATAAGGACATCATGACCTAAGAGCAAAACGTACCAAAAGTGCCACTGATGAGACTTTAAGTACAGTTCCCAAATATCTTCCACTAGGACTCCAGAACTGGGATCATTTGTTGGAACAATTTAAACTGAATTAAAATCAGCAGTAAATGTGCTCAAGTATTAACTTTGAGAACCACGTTTCAAAAGCTATACCCTAGAATTCTCTCTAAAGAAAATAAAGTCTAGTTTTGATGTTCTGAACTCATATTGCAACCATAACTAGCTCTGGCCATCAATTAAGGGTCCCTTTGACTAATATCTCCAATTTAAGTATTTGATATTTTTCCTCATTTTTAATTAAGGCAGATTTCAAGCACTGAAGGGTCAGAATGTCTCTGAGGAGTTTTTAAAAACATGCATATATGTGGATTGATTTTCAGAGAAAACAAGCTGCACTAAGAGTATAAGTGATATTTGGCGCCATCTAGTGGCGAATATTTTGTATTCATCCAGGAGGGATTTTTGAAAGCAGTATAAAAAAAAAAATCCTAAAATTGGGAAATGTCCATCTATTGCCTTTTTTAATTGTTGAAACAAAAATAAAACATCCTGGGAATTTATGCAGGGTTGAAATATCTTATTTATATCTGATGTAAGATACCAACCTAACTATGACTTGCTGCCAAAAGAAGGCACAAGGTTTGGAAGGGGCTACTTCTCCTTGTGACAAGGTATGAAAGATGTTTGGTTAATATGACAGCGGTAATCATTTTCTATAATTTAGCCGATCTTTCAGGACATCTATATCGAGATTCTATTCTAACGCGCCGAAAATGGCTTCTAATTACACTGTAATCCGTTATAAGGATTATGGAAAAGGAACAGCTGTTCTTCTGAATTCCCCCCCTGAAAAAAAAGGTATAAACTAAACAAATAACAGAAACAAATCCTTTGAGACTCTTATAAAAATGAATAAATAATTCAAACATATCTGTGGCAGGCTTTTGAACTTTATTGGCATTTTGTTTTTGAAAGATCTGTCATTTTATTTCCAGTTACAATAAATGCATAATGGCTAAAACCCCCCCCACCCCTCCATAGTCTCATCCCAGGAGAGAATGCACCCCGTACACTTTGCCTGTATTTACAAAGACAAACATGTATTTAGAGATTAATCCTAGCATCACCCAGCTGTGCTGGTTCAGGCCAGTATCATGCAGCAGAGCTCTAACCTAATCAAAGATTTGATATTGCTGAAAGAGGCTTTAGTAGGATATCACCAGTGAAACAATTTTGAAAACGATTTGGCAAAACTTAGGCTGTAACAGTTTAGTTTAAAAGCAGTGAAACAAGACATAAATATCACTATTTTAACAAAAAAAAAGTGCAAAAGGCAAATAATCCATTTGGGATGATTAAGAATTCCAGTTACAAAAAAAAACAACTTTGATGGTTAACGTTTTTTGTTGTTTTTTTTTTTTTTTACCTCCACATCAAGTTTAACAGATTCACAAATCTTGTACATAAGAACTTCAAAGTGCAAATATTATAAATTGGCATAAGCTTGTATATACATATTTCTTTAATGACGAAAAAAAGTAATCAAAATGTTATCCTCCGTTATATCTTCTCAGGCTTCAGTCACATGACCAGATCCACCCGCTCCTCCCCCAGACTTCATCACCATCACGCCAACATCACTGCTGTTATTTTTTTTTTTTTCAAATAACCGGAGACGAAACCGCGTCTCCAGGCTTTCCAGTCAAAGAGGAAAGAACGAGGAAAGAACGAGGAAAGAAGCACCCAAAAACCCGAATCTTAAAAACGCTAAATCCTGACGAAAGAGATCCGGCCATGTCATGCGGAACAAGTTGTTTTCCTTCTAACGGTCTGGACCTCGTTCAGAGATGGGTTAACTAATCACCTACATCGATAACACACCACCTTATAGCCACAATAAGAGAAATTAATTACAGCTAAATTGCATAAGACTCTTACACTCTAAAGAGTGTCAAAACAAAATAAGCAAAAGCACTGCATGTGAACACACTTCATCATCATCCACTACACCAGACCTGATGAGACCTTATGCAGCTTAGAACACTGTTGCATCCAAGAGAAATCGTTGATTCGGTCATTTGTAAGCGGATTTTTGGAGGGACAGCTGGTGTATTGCTGTTAAAAGTCCTTCCAGTCTAAACCTTTAGGGGCTGATTCTACTTTAAAGTGAACAGGGAGTCTCAGATCTTAAAGGTTTGGAAGCAGCAGGAAGGCGACCAGGAAAACACAGATGGTGCGTTCAGAGCTTCACATCTTACCTTTCCTGTAAAAACAAATGCTACATCACAGTTAATGTAAGACTAGATCACAACTTTCAACTGTTTGTCAAAGAGAAAGGATTCTTTCCTTTGCTTGTTTTTTTTCTTTTTAACTCTTAACACTGAATTTGCAAACTGGAAAAATACAGATTACATTTAGTTTAATAGATTCCTTCATGTTTTTCCTTTCTTTTCTTTTTTTCTTAAAGAGAGATTTGGGGGTTTTTTTTATGTTGTGCTTTAAGAAACACATAAGCCCGACGCAAGTAGAGGTGGAATGGAGGAAAATCTTCTGGGATTTAATTATCTTCCTCAAAGCAAATTAAAATTGAAATAGACTCCTGGATTAATATGCTAACACCTTCTCTTTACTTCTTTCCTTCCTTCCTTCCCTGCTTCCTCTCCTCGCTGTCGGGCACCGGGGGTCGAGTCATGCGAGGGAAGGAACTGCACAGGAAAAAGGAATGCCGTCAGCATGGAAACCTGCAGGAAGAAAGCAGCATGTTTACGTCAGCGTTGTAGTTTTCCTTTTGATCCAGCAGAGGGCGCTGCTCTACGGAAGAGGATTAGGGCAACTGAAAAAATTAAGTTAATTGATGTTTAAATTTTATTTCAGTATAAAAGTCAGAATTCTGACAGCTAGCAAACATGTTAGCATCAAGCCGTAGCCATGCCTGTTTTAGAGATTAGCTCTCTTGTTTTAATCACCTTCTGCTCTTCCATTATTGAAATAGCATCACCAGGGACCCCTCTGGCACGTAAAAAGTTGCCTAATTCCACCAGTGTGTTACTGGCCCTCCCAAACAACTCACATCTTTGTCAGTGAAGCTGAGTGCTCCCACTTCTCCTCTTTCATGGTGCCCATCTACATTAAGATCCATAATTCTGAGATTAAAGTAGAATTCTGAGATTTAAGTCAGAATTCTGACTTTTTTTCCCCATATTAAACTGAAATGATATTTAAAAATCAGTTAACTTTTTTTTTTCCAGTGGCCCTAATCCTCTTCCGTACTCTTGATCTCCCTCCTTTTGAAACCTACTTTCAGTAGAGGAAGAAGAGGCGCGTTCTGTGTGACGTGGCCATGTTTTCTGACATGTTGCGCACTTTCAGGTAGTTCACAAAACCTCTGAAGAAGAGCAGGAGGCCTGCATAAAAAAAAACAAAAAAAAAAACAAAAACATTTTCTTTATTAATAATGCTTTTATTTTAAGGCTGGCTTTCAACTGAGATGCTACAAACACTCACCCAGCAACAGGAAGATCCACCACAGCCAGTATTGGCCATTAAAATAGCCAGTGAAGTAGTCTGAAAACTAAGAAAACAGAAAGAAATCTTAATAATAGCTTTAAAACGCAACAGACAACTCTGTGTATTGAAACACACCCTGACGATGAGGATCCACTTAATGAGAGAGAGGCCGAAGCCGCAGATGGCTCCGTAACGCCCTGCGATGGTGTTGGTCAGACAGAAGGACAAACAGAAGCCGATCCAGTTGAACAGGAAGGCCACTGAAGGGTGGGGGGATACACGGAATTGATGTCAAACGTTGATACTCTGCTGTAAATTTAGCATTTCATGTGTTTCATGTAAAAGAACAATAAAACCTCACTGAAAAAGGCCAACATGAAGATTCCGTCGTTTCCGACTCGAAGCTGATCGGCGTCGCTGAAATCGTCCCTGGGAGGGAAGTCATCGTCCTTTTTGCACAGAACACACACAAGGTTTGACTTTAAAATGTTAAACAGAAAGGGCAAAAAAAGAGAAAATCAAACCAATAGATACGTTGCACAACATGTTTGCCCTTCTTTGCCCTAAATGAGTCTGCTTCCTCCCAACAAACAGAGCTACACATGCAGATTCCGTTTAATAGCTTCTATGCTCAAGTCTACGTTGTTTTGAAGCAACTTTAAATGACAGATTGACACAATTGTAGATTTAAAATAAAAAAAAAAATCTAATTTTCGTCAAACCACTTAATCTGAAACCCAAAAATAAATATAGTACAACACATTTCCCACAAAGGTCACTCCGTATGAGTGCACCTGTTCTCTGAAGGTTAGAGGCTCATTAGAGATCATCATGAAGGCACAAAGCAGATAAAACAAACAAATAATAGAAACAGAGAAGAAGAAGAAGGTAGTAAAGATATTTGAAATTCACACAGGTTAGAAAAAATTAAATTACAAATGGCGGAAAATGTAAATCCTCATTGGAGTTTGTCAAAAAAAAAAAAAAAGGGCAGTCAGTACTGTACATCAACATAAAGACGGCATTCCTACTAAACCGCACGGTGGTGGTGGCATTAATTATGGAGTACAGGATATTGATCAAAGCTGGGAAGATAAATGGAGCTAAAAATTGCGCAATCTGGAATAAAACAAAAAACATACAGCTTCAAAATTTGGAGACAGAAGGTCATCATCCGACAGGACAGTGACTCTAAACATCAGCTGGCCACCATGGAGCGGTTCAAACAAAGCTTACCCATAGCTTATAAAAAAAAACCTTTATCATGTGAGGTGGTGGTTTTTAGATATTTGCTATTTAAATCAGATCTCTGCAGTGATGTATCGAGTGAGACAGAAGGAGAGAAACAGTGGCAAAGTAAAAAAATAAACACTCAGGTTGGACTCATTTGGAAACAAACTGCTGATATACACTGGAAAAACAATCTAGAAATAAGTAAAAATTATTTAAATTAAGTGCATTTACCCTTAATTTGGGTAGGTTTAGGGCTGCAACTAACGATTATTTTAAAAATCGATGAATCGGCCGATTATTTTTTCGATTAATCGATGAATCGGACAAAAAAAAAATTTTATATTAACCTCTTTATTCCAAAATAAACATTTTAGACAGAACAAACAAGCCCACAAGTACAGGTTGCTCATTAACTGTACTGGTGCAATATGAAAAATAAATGTTTGTGTAAAAACTACGCAAACTTACATGAGAAATGTAGCTGTACATCCACAAAATATAGGCTACTTTGTTTCATAAAGCGCAAAAAGAGACAGGCATTTTTGTTTTTTAAAGCCCCTAAGGGGTTCAAACAATAGGTCCCCCCATTTCAACAAATGAGTTTTTTTAGACTAGAAGAGTTCTGCCTTTTAAGACAGGAAAGTATAGCAGTTAAAGTTGCTACTTGAGAAAATACTGAACCATAGAGATAAAAATAGCCCTGTGATTCAAATTATAAATTGTATTTGGAATAAAAATGAGAGAACTAGGGGTGTTAAAAAACACATCCTCCAAAGACAGATATTTACATGGGAATGTGGCAGATAATTAATTGACATATTACTGATCTTGCTGGATTTTGTTCTGCTTTACTTCCATAAATTGCAGGATCTTCTTTTCTTTATCTTTGCCAGAAGATTTAAACTTTAAAAGCCTTGCCCTCATAATTTGCAAGTTAATTTATTTATAAAGAAAATATAAACGCTGCTTAAACAAATTTAAATGAAATTAAAAGTAAAATAAGAAGCCAACCTTATCACTGTCTGTAACCTACTAACAAGGCAAGGAAAGCATCAGATGAGCTACCTGAGAAACTAACGTAACGTTTCCCCTCTTTAAAATGAAACAAACATGGTTACTCATCCTGCTGATCAGCTCTCTTCACTGCCATTGAAGGCTCCAACGTGTTTTCTTTTCAGGTGCTGCGTCATAACAGTGGTGCTTCCGTGCTATGTTCATTTGTTTTTACAAAAGTTGCATGTTACGACTTTTTTCACTTTACAAAGCGCCGGCTATTTTAATTATTGTGATCAATTTGCGCCGTCAATCCTGGCGCATGCGCGCTTCATTTGTCGTCTGGACGCTGAGGGTAAACTCCTCACTAAAATCCTGCGGCTCTGACTGCCGAGCTGAGAGGGATTCCTGTGAGAGAGGGAGAAAGGCGTTGGGATGGGGGAGGCGCCCCACGGCAGGCAAAAGCCGCCAGTGACACCGTAAAAAGTCGCCAGATTTGTCGCTAGTCGCTTTTTTGAAAAATAGTCGCTGGAGGGGTCTGAAAAGTCGCTGAGTTGGCAACACTGCAACTGCGGCGCTGACTCGCTCCGCCATATTTTTTTTTCTTCCCCTGGTTGACGGCGGCGGCGGATGACGCATTAATCGCGCGACACAACTAATCGATGATTAAATTCGTTGCCAACGCTTTTAATGGAATGAGTATTTCTACTCTTAAAATAAGATAATTAGATAAAATGCACTTGAATTAAGACAATGCAAAAGTGTTTTCTTATTGTAAGTGTAAATTGTCTTGTTCCATCTGCAAGATGTCTCTTTTACCTCCTCAATCCAAGAATAAATGTACTTATTTTAAGAAAAAATTACTTATCTAGATTTCCATTTTTTCTAGTGTAAAGCGAGCAGGACAGACTCAGACAAATGCAATCAATAAAACCTTTTAATAAAAAAAAAAAGCCTACTTTACACACGGTAGGATTTCAGGAGGACGAAAACACAAAGTAAAAAAGATAAAAAGTGGAATAACAATGATGCTTATGAAGGCACTGGTTTTCTTTTTGTTTCTGAAAAACTCTTGGAGAAGATTTTTTACAGAGGACAACGGTAGTTGAAAAAGGAAGCAAAATGGGAGCCTCAACGGAAAACAAATAACATCAGAGCTTCTAGAGTCAGACACAAGAAGTGTGATCCGACGGTGCTAGAACTAGCTGCGAGTCATCTAACAAGAATGTCCGATGACGTGAAGACGAAGATTTTTAGTCTAACTTGTTACAGAAAGTCGACCACGTTCATTTAAGAGGACTAGGAGCTTAGGGTGTGTTGCCTTACCCGGGGCAAAACCTCTACAGCAGAGGCAGCCAGGGCGGCTGCTTTTGCCTTCTCTGCTTCGTCATAGGTTGGTAGTGACGTGGCGACACTGTAGGGTGGAGGGACTGGGAAGTCGCCTTGGAAACTGGTGTCTGTGGAAACAGCAGATGGAAGAAGGCTTGGTCAGAGAAAACAGAAGCAGAAACGTGTATGGTCTGAATGACAATGTGGTGATGCTGTCATCGAACTTGGCTCTGACTCATTGGTTCAAAAGCCACAAAAATCTAATCCTGTTGCCATTCCTGGAAGCTTCAAGCCACACTTTGGAAACGGCTGTAAAGGATCATCTAAAGTAATACCAGGTGCTGCGGCAGTCGCCCCCGGCTCGATGGAGGCGTATGGAGGCGGCGGCGCCTCTGCTTCCGCTGCTGCAGGAGCTGGAGCCGCGCTGGCCTGGCTCTCCCTCTGGTCCTGTCCAGATGCGTCAGCCCTGGCTGACGCTGAGGTGCAGGGCTGTGATTCGGTGGGGGAAGCCTCTGAAGAATCTTCTTCGTTGTGCAACTGCGAGAGAAAATGGAGAGGGGAGTTTTAGAGTCGTGCGCGAGCATATCATCTGATCATCTGCTGGAGGGCCAACCTCAGAGTTTCTCATCGGACTGAGCACAGTACCAGCTGCAACAGAAACAACCTGAGAAGACATAAGTCCGCCGCTAACTGCTTCAGAATCAACTTGAATGTTTGTACAAATAGGTATTTAGTAACTAGACCGGCCTCACATGGTCTGTTTTTATTTCGCCAGCAGCTGCTAAGAGACAACAGTTTGCATGACAGCTGAATCAGGTCATTGTTTGGACTTTGATCAGTTCATATAAACACCCGTATCCTGCTTTTCTGTTGCAGATTTGGGATCATCGCCATGTCACATTCAGCAGACTAAAATGTTAAGAGATTTGGAAATATTTGAATATGTACAGTCAGATAAACTGCAACATAACACATAATCCTCAGTAACCACCTAGCACAGAGGTGGAAAGTTAATCATTGGGGATCCTCCTGCAGCCGCAGCTCACTAACACCATTTATGGGCTTTATAATAAACACATTTTTAGTCCGGGGGGGGGGGGGGGGGGGGGAGACCACAATTGGTACAGATTTGACTGTCTGGCTAATGAATCTGGTGCTGAAGGATATTATTATTACTGCTGCTTTTACTTATGTGCTATTTCTCTTTAAAACTGAAAAACATAACACAAAAAAGTAATTTTACCAATTTTTAAGGCAGTATTTTTTCCAGTTATAACTGAAAGAAAAGATATGCGGTAATAAAAATATAGAAAGCATACAACTTTTCACTATAAATTGTTTGAGGAAAAAAAAAAAAAAACTGGTCGAGATGCTGAAACTATATCATTAAATGAACCAAACAAATGACTATAAAGCAAGGAGGTGGCAGCGGTACGATGTGGGCCTCCTTCCAGAAGTCAGGTATTTTGCAACAACTTCAAAATTATAGTTTTCTGAAAAAATAAAAAAAACTAAGAAAAACAATAACAGGAAGTGGACATGTCTCCTCCTCTTTGATGGTTTTTGATATGTTAAGTTTCTTTAGCTTAAACATGTTTTGAATTTTCTATCTTATTTTCCTTTATGCACCAGTAAGGGGTCTTATAATACTTCCAATCTAACATCCAATTACAGTTATTTCTAAAACAATTTCCTTAAATTTCTCACATGAACATTTTTTACCTTCAAGTCGTCAAAGGTTCCAATTTCGACAATTATATGAACATTTAGAAATGCTGCATATGTTGTTTTTTTAAACAGTGTCCTCTATATAATAATAAAAACATTAAAAAAAAGAAGAAATGCTGCGTATTTCAGTCAGTGTAAGATTAACAGAATCCAGCTGCACCTTTGGCCTAAACAGAATGTTTTCCCCCAATGGTTCAGGTGCAGCAGGAAAACTGAGAGGCATAAACCTAATCAGTGAATGAAGGGACCTAACTGCTGAGTTGAGTCTACAGGTGCTGGTCATAAAATTAGAATATCATGAAAAAGTAGATTGATTTCAGTAATTCCATTTAAAAAGTGAAACTTGTATATTATATTCATACATTACATACAAACTCATATATTTCAGATGTTTATTTTGTTTAATTTTGATGATTACAAATGACAACAAATGAAAATCTCAAATTCATCATATCAGAAAATTAGAATATTACTGAAGACCAATAAAAACAAAGGATTTATAGAAATGTTGGCCAACTGAAAAGTATGAACATGAAAAGTATGAGCATGTACAGCACTCAGTATTTAGTTGGGCCTCCTTTGGCCTGTATTACTGCAGCAATGCGGCGTGGCATGGAGTCGATCAGTCTGTGGCACTGCTCAGGTGTTATGATAGCCCAGGTTGCTCTAATAGTGGCTTTTAGCTCTTCTGAATTGTTGGGTCTGGTGTATTGCATCTTCTTCTTCACAATACCCCATAGATTTTCTATGGGGTTAAGGTCAGGAGAGTTTGCTGGCCAATTAAGAACAGGGATACCATGGTCCTTCAACCAGGTACTGGTAGCTTTGGCACTGTGTGCAGGTGCCAAGTCCTGTTGGAAAATGAAATCTGCATCTCCAAAAAGTTGGTCAGCTGCAGGAAGCATGAAGTGCTCTAAAACTTCCTGGTATGTGGCTGCGTTGACCCTGGACCTCAGAAAACACAATGGACCAACACCAGCAGATGACATGGCACCCCAAACCATCACTGACTGTGGAAACTTTACACTGGACTTCAAGCAACGTGGATGAAGTGCCTCTCTTCTTTTCCTCCAGACTCTGGGACCTTGATTTCCAAAGGAAATGCAAAATTTACTTTCATCAGAGAACATGACTTTGGACCACTCACCAGCAGTCCAGTCCTGTTTCTCTTTAGCCCAGGCAAGACGCTTCTGACGCTGTCTGTGGTTCAAGAGTGGCTTGACACAAGGAATGCGACAGCAGAAACCCATGTCTTTCATACGTCTGTGTGTGGTGGTTCTTGAAGCACTCACTCCAGCTGCAGTCCACTCTTTGTGAATCTCCCCCACATTTTTGAATGGGTTTTGTTTCACAATCCTCTCCAGGGTGCGGTTATCTCTCTTGCTTGTACACTTTTTTCGACCACATCTTTTCCTTCCCTTCGCCTCTCTATTAATGTGCTTGGACACTGAGCTCTGTGAACAGCCAGCCTCTTTAGCGATGACCTTTTGTGTCTTGCCCTCCTTGTGCAAGGTGTCGATGGTCGTCTTTTGGACAACTGTCAAGTCAGCAGTCTTCCCCATGATTGTGTAGCCTATAGAACTAGACTGAAAGACCATTTAAAGGCTTTTGCAGGTGGTTTGAGTTAATTAGCTGATTAGAGTGTGGCACCAGGGGCCATCAATTTTGAACCTTTTCACAATATTCTAATTTTCTGATATGATGAATTTGAGATTTTCATTTGTTGTCATTTGTAATCATCAAAATTAAACAAAATAAGCATCTGAAATATATGAGTTTGTATGTAATGTATGAATATAATATACAAGTTTCACTTTTTAAATGGAATTACTGAAATCAATCTACTTTTTCATGATATTCTAATTTTATGACCAGCACCTGTATAAATTATTGTCAGAGGCAGGAGCCAAACTGCTTCTGAAATTACAGAGGGGCCACCAGGGTGTGATGGGAACCCAGGAGGTAAACAACCAGGAGGAATATTGTCAACTCCTCGAAAAGCTTACATGTTTCATGAACAAAACTTCAACCCAGCTCCTTTTTTTGCATTCTAACCAAAAAAAAAATTTTTTAATAAAAAAAAAAAAAAACAGGCTACAGATCCTTCCTGTTGTGTATTATCTTGTATCTTGCTCTGAAGGAGGGCAGAAGCATCAAACGAAACCATAGATAAGCTCATAGTACACTATAAAAAAAGGCCAGCGCCATCTCTGCCACCGTCGTACTTCGAGCCACCAGGTTAGGCAATTTCCGGAGAACCTCAGCAGCATAAAAAGGGGCGGTGAACGTACACCTTCACGTCTAACCTACACCCCGCCAGGGGAAAAACGAAAGCTGCGTCAAAGCCGCCGAACGAGTCCAGCTTGTCGAGGGTTTCAACAAATTCCTATGTAGGTCGGCGGGGAGAGAACGGCAAGAGCGACAACCAGGAAAGAGTAATTAGCTAAAAAAATTCCAACTATAAAAACCAAAACCCTTATTTTTCTTTTACAACAAGAATTGGATGATCTTACAGGAAAACTACGCATTTAAAAAGCAAGAAAAAAAAAAAAAAAAAAAAAGAAAAAAAAAGGAATTCACCATTTTGAATTTGTTCCACAAACAGGCTGTGGTTTACCGCCTCTGCCAGTCGGGGTAGCACCGTTTTTTTTAATCACAGCTCTGACTAAGATCAGAGCAGCTTTTTAAAGAAACAGTCATGTTTAAAAACCAAGAACGCCTAGGTTTTACTTTGTCAGCAAACAGATATACAAAAATATTTATCATTAGATGGATTTCCTTTTATCAGCACACAAAGCAAGAAGGGAATGACTGGCCAATAGTTGGCTCAGAATCAAGGACAAAGCCTTATGTTGATTTGGTGGTGGTGGGGGGGTTACATAAGATATTAACAGCATCGCCACAAGCCTCCTTGTGTGTCTAAATCCAACTGAAACCAGAGGAATATTTAGAGAACAAACAGGACGGATGGATCGATGTGGCGAGGAGTAAAACGACGCCGAGGCGGATCCCTGAGAAACTTAAAAAAAAAGAATGAAATAAAACAAGCCGATGAGTGTTTGTTGCATCATTCTTGGAATCGGCACAGTTGCTGCAGTCTCTGCTTTGTTTGGTCATGACATGTTAGGTATCTGAACCTTTAAAAGCGGTTTGTCAATTCAGTTGTTTTACTTCTATCCAAACTCCTCTAACTTGGATTCGATTAACCTGAGATTGTTAAATTAGTTTTTACAAGCATCTAGATTTTCTCAGTGAGGTACATCAGTAAAACGATGCATCAGGAGGTTTGTTTAAAATGTAAACAAGAGAACTCAAACAATGAATGTAACTTCGATTTAAGAACCTTAAAGTAGTATCCCTTCTTAATTTGCAGTTATCCCTTGGTGCGAGAATAGTGCATGTTTGATGAACAAACAGACAAATAAAGCAAAACCATAACACAGCAGTGATGAGGGCTTGTTTTACAGCAACAGTGATTGGAACACCTTGTGAAAACATTTAACTATAAAGACATATTTACGGTTACGATTAACTAGTCTAGAGGCTGCAAGTGCTTTAAAAGTTTTATAAATGATTTGAAAACACTAAAAGAGCCTAAGATAAAATCCTAATCTTTTTTTTTTTTTTTTTTTACTACTAAAACAGGTTTAAGATGTGACTAAATTTACATTTGGGATTTTCTGTTAACACAATTTCAGTTTTGGAGGAAAATCAGGATCAAATAAAATCATAACTGCTTGCAAAGCAGAAAACTTTATTTTTTGTTTTGTTTTTCATTGTTTACAGTAGGTGAATAAGGATTTCTTCTTCCCAGACAGAATGGAATGAAATAAATGCTAGTTTAAAAGCAATTTATGTTATTTGTTGTTGTTTTCTTTTATTAAATAATTTAACTTTTTAAAACAATAAAACCTAAAGGGAAAAAGAAAACCAAAACAAGTTCAACTTATATTAACAGAGCTTTGCTAGCTTATGAAACCATATTCCACATAACACATCGCCTTATCTTTTAGCAGAAAGGTCAAAAGCTGAAAAAAAGGTTATTTTATCAGATATTTTTATGTCGGTCCCTATCGAGAAAAAGTAATCCGTTTCATGGCCTTATCGCCTTTTCTCGGAGGCTCGAAACTCGGCTGAGAAGCTAACATGCTAACGAACTAGCTTGCTAAACCACAAATATTTATAATATGTTTTATAATTATTACCAGTTCAAATATTATAAAACATATTTAGCAACAGGGAGAAAAGAAATACTAAAACGTCACACACAAAAATACTAAAAAAAAGAATAATTAAGTAGATGTTAAGAAATAGCTTTTGTTGTTGTTCGTGTCTAACGTTACGCTAGCAAATGCGGAAGTGGTTAATCGAAAACTGGTTTAAAAAAGTTATCTTAATAAATATTAAACACTAGTGATATTCAGACATTCTTTTGATATTTTAAGTTAATGTACTGTCACAAGTGTTTACAAAAAAAGTTGTACTTTGTGCGCCGTATTTTTCCGCAAGGCCTTGTTTGTTGTTAGACCGATTTTCCTCCGAATGTTTGGATTTCCTGCCCGTTAGAAACACTTACCACTTGGTAACGGCTTGCTGGGTCCATGTCGGTGTGGTTCGGCTGGCGAGGAGGCCAGCCCAGTAAACAGAGAGGATAATTTAGCCTGCCTTTATTCAGGCGGTTTCTGTCACGGAGAGACTTAAAGCGGTAGAGATGTGTGAAGCACTGGCAGCACAGTGAGTAATGGCTGCAATCTCGACGCACTCGCTCGAAAAACAGCAGAGTGAGTAAAGCTTCATAACGACAGCTTCAAACGGAAGTCATCTTATTCATTTCCGATTTAAGATTTCAGAATAAAAGATGATCAGACGTCTTGAACCAAACCGGCTTTTTTTTTTTTACGTAAACTGCATATAATCCAAAATATCTAAATATAACACAAGGGCTACATTTCTTTAATAATTATATAGAGAAAATAAGCAACAGCTCACATGTTACAGAATAATAATATAATAATGTTATAATATAATAATGAATAGAACGATAAAAAAAAAAGTTTTTCATGTTGATTTATATACTGGAGTAGGCCTACTTTAGTAAATTAATAAATGCATAAATAAATACATAAGTAAATATTGGGAGAGAGTACTGTGCTAAAGACAGCAACTACTGGGTCACTTAACCCTTTATAGGGCGCTCAGTGAAATACTTTAAAAAAATCTAAATTTCAAGCCAAAAAAAAAAAAGACTTATTTGTATCATTAAAAAAATATGGATATTTTGATGGCAAAAATTAATGTAAGAACAAGAATCACCAACTTGCCCAAATATATTAAGAAAAAATAACAAAAGTGCTTCTACACTGGAAAAAATTTAAATCTATATTATTTCTTAAAATAAGTGCATTTGCTCTTGAATTGAGAAGGTAAGACAGACATTTTGCCAATGGAACAAGACAATTTACATTTTAAATTAGAAAAACGCAATTGCATTGTCTTATTTCAAGTGCATTTTATCTAAATATCTTATTTTAAGAGTAAAAATACTGATTTCATTGGCAAATCATCTAATTTACCTACTCAAATTAGGGGTAAATACACTTAATTTGATAAATTTTTACTTATTTCTAGACTTTTTTCCAGTTTATAAGATAGTCATACATAAGACTCCATTTGTAAGGGTATGCAAGTGACCAAAAACGGTATTTTGTCCTATAAAGGGTTAAGAAACGTATTCGGTATGGGGTCACGTGACACCAATTAACGGACATGCAGGTCGCGTGACTCTTTCCTGCTGAAAACCTCAGCTCACAGCTGTGGAGGTTAATTAGCGCTTGCCAGCGTGATGTGATGAAACAAATAATACAGTTTTTTAAAGGAATATTTTTATTTAAAGATGGGAAAACGACAACCGGAATTCCAGGTAACTACATGTTCTGAACATTGGATGTCTGTAATTAGAGAATCTCTTCAGGTAAAAATGTCTGAACATGTGGTGCCCACTCTTCCCGTTTATTTATTTATTTTTTTTCAATCTTTTTTTATTATTTTTTTAAATATTAATCTGTTCCTGGGCTTGTTCTGCTTTTTTCATACAAATTTGGAAAACATTCTTTGGTATCTGAAACTATACAACTCTGTAGCCTATCTGTTCTCACAGGTGTTTGCTCATCATGGATTTGAAAAAAGTAAAAAAAAAAAACCCACTGGACTATGTTTCCAAGTTTGAAGATGTTTCGCTTCCCATGCAGGAAGCTTTTTCAATTTCAAATGTCAGGAATAGCGTTAAGTTCCAGGCTATATACACAGCCCAACAAGGACGAACGGGTCACCCCTTTGGAATGGAATGGAAAAACAAAATCCATAAACTTTTATTATTACATTTGAATTGCTTTAATGCCATTTTATTATTGAACAACAAATACTTAGTGACTGGCACACTTACAGTATGCACAACCCCCCATAGGTTACGATTAAAATGTTTTTTTTTTTTTTTCTCATAACACTTTATTCCATTGCATTATTTCAAAAACTGTTCAGTAATGTGGTTGGAGTTTATTCGATTTATTATTTACTAACAACTCTTTAATGGTCAAGAATGTAAAAATGGTAGGTTGGAAAATAAAAAAATGTATATGTTCAGTTTGGGCAATATTGTGTGCGACTTGACTTGAATGCATCATAAAGTAGCTTGACCTTTGCAAAATTAGGTTTTGTTGAAAAAAAATCTGGACTGGGGAGTTTACTGTATACTGCAACAGATGCACTATAAGGAGCTACCATTTTATTGATTTATTTTGAAGGAAGTTCCTTTTACTGTTGATACACACTCGCCAGCTTACTTCTGAGGTTTTGGTGACGGATTTCACGGGGAGAGCACCATTGGCTCAGTTCCAATACTCACTAAACTCTAAGCCCCTCTAAGTGTGCACATGGAGGAAGTGCACCTAAAGGTTCAATCACAAGCGTGCAAAATTGGGACAGTACTTGCGTCCTGTGAAATAACAGAGACATTGAAAGTGTCAGGACCCATTTCTGTTTTTGCAATTTAACTGGCAAAAATATAACTTCAACAAGAAATACTTTTGTATCCACATACACAGTAAAATATGTATTATTTTTGATAATTACACCTGAAGCAATTATTTTCTTTAGCACAGACACTAGAGCTTACTATTTTTTCAACCTTATTTTTGCAATAAAAAGGTAAAAATTTTAGCGGTGTGAAAGGTATATATCTTAAAGCTGCAGTCTGTAACATTGAGGAGAGAACTCGTCCCGAATTATTCTTTCCAGATTGAAATACAGGCAGTATGCGGGACCAATTGAAGCAGTTTTTTTCACAGGTTACATATCACATGTACTGCTGTCTGGGCATAGGGACAGTTTTAGCCAATATGACAAAAAAGTGATTTTTAAAAACTTACAGACTTCAGCTTTAATATAGGAGAAGATACAAAATTACACATTAGAATACAAGAAAATCTATAAGAGAATTAAGCCTAACTGAATCTATTTGCATGTAGAAAGAAAATGAAAATAAATATATCTTAGAAAAAAAAAGTGTTCAGACATTTTATACAATATTTTACCTATATTTTTTTATTTTATTGTATGGATATAGGAATGGGTCATCGATCCAAACTGTTCAAAGAGCCATATTGGACCAAAAACAAATCTGTAAGTCAAGCATGCCCAAAGTCGGTCCTCGAGGGCCGCTGTCCTGCAGGTTTTAGATGTTTCCCTCCTCTAGCACAGCCGATTCTAATGGTTAAGTTTAGCAAAAAGCCTGCTAATCAGCTATCAATGAAAATCAGGTGTGCTGAAGCAGACAAACCTTCAAAACTTTCAGGACGGCAGCCCTCGAGGTCCGACTTTGGGCATGCCAGCTCTAAGGGTATTGGCCCACTATACTAAAGGATGACATGGGCTTAAATATATAATAAACATTCATGATTAAATGTTTATCATAGAGCAAACATGACATCATGTGACTACTCTGCTATACAATATTTGGTGCTTTAACTTTAAATTCCAATACAGTATTAATGTATTAGGTTTTGTTGCAGTGATGAAATTATAGAAAAACAATAAAGGAATCAGATTTTTTATTGTTATTCTTATTATGAGGTTTTGCGGTTAAAAAAATGGAAGAAAGTTCACATACCTTCATAAGAGCGATACCTGTATCTGTGAACGGTTTTCCATATTTGCAACAAAACTAGCACCATTAGTGGAGTTTAGAGATGCAATTCAATTCTTAAATCTATCTTTGCTCTCCTATAATTTATCCAGAAGTTCTGCAATCTCACTTTTTCTCTTACTACAAACTTGGTGGTCGGGTGCATATTTAGCATGCCTTCCCTGGAAATGCCTTTCCAAATGACCCTTTTTATTATTTGGCAACTTCTCATTACAAAGCAAAGATGCAGGCAATCCTTCCACATCGGTAATGAAAGCAAATGATTTGGTCTATTCTTCTTTGAATCCTCTGTTCTCATCAGCTATCTTCCTTTTTTTTTCCCTTTGGGATCCATGGCCCAAGACTTACCCGCCTGTTTGTTTACAACAGCCACCTGCTTGGCACCATGTCACGCTGAAATATATGCTGCACAAAATTGTACAGCATTGGAAAACAATGAATGGTTGACTTACTGCACACCATATTAAAACAAAAAAACAAAACAATCCATCTTTTTCCATTTTTTTTTAAAGTTCAAGGGAGCAGCAAGGGTGGTGTTAAGCTGCAACCTGCAGCTCTGGAGCCGCAGGTTGCCAAACTCTGATATACAAGAATAATCTAAAACTCATTAAAAATACTTTAAGGTGTGAATATTTTTACTGGATATTTAAAAATTAAAAGTACTGCCAATGTAGAATCTTATGAGCCAATTCAAAATTTGAACTTAAATCAATCATGACTACTAATTGTGTAACCAGCAACATGAGATAGACGCAGTAAATAAAGGCAATTCTTGCCTTTTTAATAGTACACAATTCATCTCCTTCAAATCTAAATCTCTTCTTTAAAATGTATTTCCAACATGTATTTGGGAATGAATTTGGTTTCGTATTTTAAATTTGGTTTCTTTAACAGTTGGAGAAATTAAACAAATTGAAAGTGAATATTATTGAGGCTCATTGTTATTAAATGTTATATTTTCTTCTATATAAGGTCCTTATTTATAATTACCGAATAGAATATGTTTTATTGACTGATTCATTATTAAACCACACATTTATCATCAAGTATATGTCATAAATATCTCTATTTCAATTTAGAAGGTTAGGGAAATGTTATGACTGTAAACAGATTAATCTAGATTATTTGAATTAAAGGGTTTAGGTATGGCTTTGTATATGTTTTTATATAGTGATTCAGAGTGTCTATGATTATGTTTATTTAGGTTGGGTGAATATAAAAAAATAATAAAAAAGATTAACATCTAATAAATCTTTAAAAATAACTTTCCCCTCAATAACGAAAATTCACTTTTTGTTCCAAATTATCCCCCTGAATAATCAATAAAGTAGGACCTTCTGTAGAAGAATGACTGAATATATATCAGTTTAGAGAACAAAAACATACTGTGTTGTAGGGTTGATTTACAGGAATTTTTATGGTTACCAAAATTGAACAGCAAGTCACTGGAGCTGGATCGTCATCTACGTTTCTCTTTTTTTTTTTTTTTACTTAAAACGTAACATGCAGCAGTGAATTGTGGGCCATAAACTTTACAGGAGTCTGCTTTCCACAGCTCAAGTGAGGATCAAGGG